GGACCAGACTGGATCAGTGATCTCTGGACTGTAGGGTTACAGTGTGACCCAGACTGGACAGTAGGGTTACAGTGTGACCTGGACCAGGCTGGACCAGTGATCTCACCACAATAGTTAATGTTGCTGTTTGAGCCCCTTGATCGGCACCCTACATCACAGCTGCCTTTGAATGTTTTGTGTTTGAAATTTGTACCTGGCGACTTGGTCAGAATTATGATAGCTGCAGGAATGTGAGAGTGATTATCTGGGGGGTGTGGTGGGAGAGAGGGAGGGAATGTTGTGAGAGTGACCCCCCACAGCAGAGGGGACTGTGTCCTGCTCGATGAGAGCTTCACGTGTGGGCGGAGCAAGTGCGGCATCTCGCATGCGATCGCTGAACTGGGATATGAACGCATAATCCACAACCCAGTGCCCGGACTCGGGGAGAAGAGAAACACAGGGAGCGACAAACAGCTCTCTCAGAAGATGCTGCACAACTAGGAGCTCCATAAAGCGCCTTCTGTTCCCAGAGACTGTGTGTCAAACTGTGTCTGTCGCTCTCCTCTCTCTCAATCTGTTGCTCTGTCCCATCTCATCCATCTGCTCTGCAAGACAGTGATCGCTTTCTCTGACACCCCCCAAAAACAAGCCCCCCCCGACACAGTGATCCCCTTTCTCTGACACCCCCACAAACACCCCCCCCCGACACAGCACTGGGCGTTCAGTCCCCACTCTCTCTGAAATGCACTGGGAGACGCACAGGGAGGAGGAGAATGGGCTTTATTGCAGTCACCTGCACTGTGGCGCTGTCCAGTGCACCACCATAGGCTGAGGACTGACAGGAGACACAGCCCCGACCCCCTGCTTCCCAGTGTCAACAGAGCAGCACCCAGCTCCGTTCTCTCTCCTCGCACGGGGGGACAGGAGTGAAGGAGAGGAGGAGGAGTGAAGGAGAGGAAACAGAGCAAGAGGAGGAGGAGGACAGGAGAGGAGCAGGGGAGGGACAGGAGTGAAAGAGAGGAGAAAGGAGGAGAACAGAGAAAGAGGAGTGGGAGAGAAGTGAAGAAGAGGAAGAGGAGGAAAAGGACAGGAGAAAGGAGGAGAAGAAGGACAGGAGTGAAGGGGAGGAGACAGGAGAATAGAGAAAGAGGAGTGGGAGAGAAGAGGAGAGAGGGAGGTGGGAGAGGTAAGACAGGAGTTAGAGCAGGTGAGAGAAAGAGGAGTCAAGGATAGGAGGCACACTACAGAGGCTGGGGGAAGAGGATAGATGAGAGAGCCAAGAGGCAGGTGGGGGTGAGAGTGAACAGATGACAAAACAAACAGCAGTAAGTCTGTAGGGTACAGATCCCGCAGCAGGTTCAGGATTCGAACAAGGACACCGTCAGTCCAGTGGTTCTCCGGCTCCAGTGCCTTGAGCCGAAATAGCAATCCAGAGCACGGCCCGTGTGTTCGGCTCAGAACCTCAGTCCCTTCCTCCGAAGGTCCACCCTGGCCTCCTGGATCTGCTCCTGCAGCTCCCGGGCAGCCTCCTCGCAGTCATTGAAAGTGGCGACTCGGTAACCGACGGTGGCCAGCGAGTAGCAGCCGAACGCCACCAGCAGGTAAACGGGCATCGGCCAGGCCACCTCCTGCCAGGCTGCCGGCAGCCTCAGGCCCAGCAGGTCAAAGGTCACCACCCCCCACAGGGCCCCGACCACAGAGATACCGAAGAGCCACTCGGCGAGCTTGGTCATGTTGGAATGTGGGATACTGGAGGTGAGTCTCACCAAGCAGGAAAACGAAACCTGGGGGATGAGGATGATGATAATTATTAAAGTACCCCAGCCTCTAATTTCGTTTTATTTCGTCCAGTCTGTAACTGGACTGTTGTACGTCACGTTACTTCTACTTTAATGAATATCAAAATTCATTTTAAGCCCAGCAAAAAGAAAAACAGCCGTGATAAACACTTATAAACTAACGGATACTGGGGGGTTACGAAGTCAAAGACAAATCTGAGATATACTTTTAAGAGTACCGGTAGGTATTATTGAATGAAGACGTCGTTTTAATGGCTTTGAAGATTTCACAACACACGTACTGTTAAGCACAGCAAACCGAATACATACTGTGTAGTTACTCACGGACAATTGCCACAGTTCGAAAAATAAACGTATAATATTACCTATTATATTAATTTTAATATAAGCAGTAACGCTGTTTACGCCTACCTCGCCAGCGACAACTCACCAGTTTAATACTCAGCGCCGGATCATACGTCATCAGTGCGCGACAGTTGATGGGACTTGTAGTTTTTTTTGTATGTTCCGAGACGCATACCCTGCCTCCGCCAGATAGCATTACAATCTGACAAAGCACTTCTGCTGGTACTGTGAGTGCCAGTCTGCAGTGTGCCAGCCAGGCCTTTTGTTTTTTTAAGTGATCGATCACTGAGCAGGGCCATCTGGAGGTGTGTGGAGTGTGGTGCTTTCTGTGTTTTGGGATGATTTTAAAAGGTGATAGGCAAAACAATACTCGGACAGATATAGTGTGAGACAGAGAGGAATACAGGTAGATATACAGACTGGCATGTGGGGAGTGACGGTGTGGATCTGTGCCCCTGCAGACTAACAGTCTCTGTGTTTGTGTCTCAGTAGCAGTGCCGTCCCCAGACAGGAGGGGAAGCCGGTGTTTATCAGGAAACACGCAGACGCAC